AGTTCAAAAAAAGTATTTTTTATAATTAAAAAACCTATTGCAACTTAAATTTATGAAAACTAATTATAAGCATAGATTATCAGAAATCATACTACATCATTTTAAACTCGACTGAATAAATTGGCGGCTACGAATTAATGCTCATTTAGATGAGAGTATTGATCAGTTTAAATGATTTACAAGATGTCAGCACCAGAATCTCAACTTCAAATACCAGTATATGATACGATAAGTATCAGTGTAGAACTTTATGTGACAAGTGAAAAAAGACTGACTAAAGTGTTAGTATTGTTCAATATTTAATTTTACACTCATTCTCTTTTTTCCACCTAATATCTTTTCAATCATTATAATATTTTCATTTGTGTGATACTTTTAAAGCATAAACCTTTTTATTTTAGTGTTTCACATCTGCCTGTGATAAACTTGTTACTTGGATTGATTAGAGAGTTGGATGTCGGATCAGTGGTCTACGTGCGAGAGCAAAGGTGGTGGGTTCAATTACCGCGAACGAAAAGGTCGCCCAGTGCTTTGAGGTTTCCAATGGTGATCTGACATAGATTGATTCATGATTTCAACGAAACTCAACGATCTTCACTACTCTAATAATTTGATCTCTTATTGATCGGTACTAAGAAAAAATATTTGCTGTTTAAAAAAATTCGATATTGTAAATAATTTGTTTTATAATATAGTATTACTAATAATAGTATTATTAATATATTGTACTTTAACTTTATAAAAATTGAACATTGACGATATGTTGAGCAACAAAACAAAAGCATGTGAATGTTTATTTAATTAATTGCACTGAGAATAATAATTTTCATTGAAATGATATTTTTTGTATGCTACATTAAATGTGAAACGACATTTATTTACACACACACACACATACAAAGGAAATAAGAGATCAGAGAAAACTATTTTTCAAATATAAAATTCTTTGTTTACACAAACTCCACTAAATGGTCATCAATATAAAATTTCACAACAAAATATTTACCCAAGTAAATATGATTTGGAAAGAAAAAAGTTGATGAATTATTGACAGGTATATATATATATGTATTATTTAGTATTTTATTTAATACTTAAATTTCATGAATTCATGTTTATGCATCGGCTTTTCTTGTTCATTACAATATTTTATACGCGTCATCTTAAATGTTGTTAAGGAATCGTTAATAGTTTAGTGGATAAAATGTTTAAATTTGCATCAATTTAATTAATTACTAACTGTTATGGATATATGAACTAGATAGGGTTTACTACAAAAGAGATTTGAATGAAATCCGGGTAGGTAGGTAGGTAGGTAAGACATGGGGAAACGCCGGTAAAACAAATTTACAAAAGTTAATAGAATAAAAGTGTAATGACTGAATTTCTTTTATGGCTTTACTAAATACGTAAGTAATGTACTTCTATCCGAACACTCTAGTCAAACTTTTGCTTCAGCTTCTAACATGAAGAATATGACAATACAAACTGTTAGAAAACCAGTGTTTTGAAAAATGAAGTGAACTGATTCGCATAGATGAATACGAAAGTATGGAATTGTTTAATTGATAACTAATCACAAAACTCCTTATAATTCACTTCTTTTTCTAAGTGGAAAAGATTCGATATTCACAGTATGAATTCAACCTGTTTCATTAAATCAGTAAGTAGTCAGATAGATAAGAAGCAACTAACCATATAATATACGTATAAGTAAATATGTATTTACGTATCTAATGGTATAATTATCACAGCATATCTAGTAAACTAGTCTCATCGTCACAGGTACAATTTGACCTGAAACAGATAGACATACGAATGCTGACAAGCTCGTCAAAAATATTCAGACATGAATTGGGGTCATATGCACTACAGGTGATCTTTATTTATTTATTCATTTGTACGGGGGGAGCAACAGAGTTCTAGGCTAAAAGTGCAGATGAAATAGTAACATAATAACAGTTTACAGCGCCTCAGTCAATTTGTATTCTATAAGTTGCCATAGTATTAAAGACTACAGTAAGAATAATCCTTACATTTCATAAATCACTGCAAAAATAAGAAAAAATTACAGTGTAAGAATAAACCCCATTTATCAATCGTAATCTGATTAGTGTAAAAGGTCAAAAAAAGCAAACACAATAAATGTAGGCAAAAAGACAAAAATTTTAGTCTAGTAAATGAACATAATGAATTAGTAGAAAAATTGATACAAGATAAACAAAAAAAATGAGCACAATAGATGATTTATCAAAATTATTCGGAATACCTTAGAAATGTACGACTGAAAAATAGGTAACTTAAAACAAAAGGATACTTTAGGTAGGGTGGAATCGAAAATATGCTAATGTTATTGTCTAGAAGATTAGTAAAGTTAAGAGAAATGAGGTAAGAAACGATTCCAAGTTTCCGTTGTGTTTCAGCTTCACTACATGGTAAACGTTTAAAATCTACTACATTTAAGATTTCCAGTTTTCAACAAAAGGTTATAGTCAAGGTCAGATTACTAAAAACAAATATTGTCAGAACTTCCCTTATTTCAATTTTTTCCAGATGATAAATGAGACACGAGTTTATTAGATTACTCAACTAATTCACCTAAGCAAGAATTCTAAATCTCCATATGAGAAGTGCAAACAGTCAAACATTATTACTTCTAGGGCCAGTTAATGTGTACTTGAGATAACAACTGGAAATATTCACTTTAGACTAGAGTAGAGTAGAGTAGAACAAGAACCTTAACTATTGAGTCTAACTGCTTTGATTCAGCCAAGTATGCTATTTTAAACGAATGCTTTTATCTGATACTTGAGTGAGTTGATAATATACAACGAAAAATAGTTGAGAATTATAAACATGGGGTTTATAGTGCTTCTTTGGCTAATAAAGGGCTACGCAATTTTCTAGTACGTAACTAGCATTTCATTGGAAAAATTAAGGTATATTAATTACAATTAAGTAAACACTTCTTCGGGATCTAGTAGATAGAAAAGCGGATCTATGAATATAAGTTTACAACTATGATTCTGATGGATATATCATCATAATACATTGAAACTGAGGCTGAATAATAAAATTGCAGTGGCTAGGACTAGGAGGGGATGATAAAAAAAATCTCTTTGTTATTGTTCATTATTCAAATGTGTGATGTATTCACACGTCTGAATGAAAAAAATTAATCCAACTTACCAGTAGTATCACATGATGTAACCGATTACTTTCTTTATTGTTAATTTATTTAAAAATAAACTGAAATATTCAGTCACGTCTAGTAAACCAGTCAATCGATCAATGTTTGTGTTTTTTTTTAAGAATTAAATCTACACATCGTTTGTTTGATGGTACGACAAATAGTTAAAGAAAAAAGTAATTTGAATTAGTCAACACGTGTTGTTGGCCACACATTGAAATAAATGTTATTTGGTTGTTAGATTATTTATTAGAACTACGGATAAAATACAACTCATTGGCTTAAAAAACATGTCTCCTACTAACATACATGAATATTATTATTATTGTTATTATTATTATTATTATTATTATTATTATTATTATTATTATTATTATTGATGTAAATGTGCATCTGTCACAAAATTCGATCAGAATTGATTGACATTTGTGTCATGTTGAGAGAATTAGTAATCAATATTATAAACTTAATACACAATATATCAATATGTTTAGGTTGTTTTTTTTTTGCAACAAACTATATACTCATTCTTTGAGTCTGTAAAACACAATTAGGTCCTTAAAATTAAATAAACTAGGGCGCATTGAATGAAAAAGGCAGTTTGAATAGTTTTGCCAATTGAAAAAGGCAGTTTGAATAGTTTTGCCAATTGAAAAAGGCATAATCCATGTTATGATGAGTTTAAATGTTTTGTGACCATTACAGTTAAATTAATGAACTAATTTGAAGCGTCATAAAACGGCAACTACTGAATTAAGAACTAGTATGTTGATGACTTAATGCCAGTCTTTCAGTATGCATATTAAATAGCTGTTTTCTCTGTCACTGATATTCGTGTATTAACCGATTAAGTTAACAAAGTTCTGGAGTGAGATCTGTTATTTAGATAATATTATAGTACCCTGGAGATTCACACTTTTACAATCACCTATTGCCATACAATTTTCATATCACACAATTTGTATAGCCTATTAAAGAGCAATTATGTAGCACACAGACGTAGTGATAACCATCTATCTGCAAAGGTCACACTAATAAACAATCTGAAATATCTTTCAAACTTAAGCATTCCGTAAATAGAGACAAATCAACCAATGAATTAATAAACTGAGACAACAAAATAATACTTGTAGCTCATAAGGAGGATTAAGGTGTTGTGATTTCTAAAAAGGATGTCTGAAATGTGAAACTTTTATGATCTTCTTCAAACAACATACACCGAAACTCTAGAAAAAAGTTATTAAACGCTTGTTAAGAGATATCAGAAGCTCGCTCCTTTTTGGGGGTATATAATGATAATAATTTCCAGAAAAATAATGGAGTATTGATAATTCAGTCATCCAGTTTAGTGCATGAAGCATAAAATTAAGATAATCTTAAATGCATATATATTTACCTGAGCGCGAGATGCATTTGTTTTTATCAGAATCGACATTTAATTTCGTTGGATATTTACAGTTAATTTTCCGAAACTGATTTAGTTCTAACTGTTCAACTTGAATAATCCGACCAGGCATAGCCCATGAATTGGCAAATTTATTAAGATCAGAAAAACGATAATGATAGCTAGTTATCCACGAGTGTCATTCAATTGAATATAAATTCCTCAAATTCAGACGAGATCAGAAAAGAAACTTGAGGATCATAGTTCAAAATCATGTACGAATCACTTTGTGTGCTAGTTCTCTGAACAGTTCATAATAAAAATGAAATTAGTGCATAAACCAAGCAATACCATTTTCATTTAAAAGGACGAATGAGAAGCGAGGAAATCAGCGATTGTGATTGGCTGATTTTGAACGAATCAGGAATGCATTTACAAGTCACATGTTTAACGTTCATTTTAATGCGTCCATCGGATGTTCGAAATTTCTACAATTCGATTTTTCATTCAGTTAGTAGAGCACGTCTATGACGACATTTTCGAGGAAGTTTGTTATAAGTTTAGGTATTTTCTCACCAGACATCGTTTCACTCAGTGACTTCTAATTAAAAGTCTGTAGAAACCGAACAACACGAAACAACACAAGCCAGATTTCTCCTAAGTTCTACAGAAATATTTGTTATTTTGATCTGATTAATTCCAGTATTACCATTTATCGGTGTTCTCTTTGATGGACTAAATTATGCTAGTACAACAATTTCAAAATACTTAATCACATGGAAGGATTAGTGAATTAATCAATGTCATTACGTGTGACCTAAATATGTGAAAATCAAACAAGTACTTTTTTCTGAAGAAATTTTTATAATCTTGAATATACAGATGATATTAGTGCCCCTTTGACTCAATTTTTATTAACATTTCAACAGGATAATTGGCACAAGCCAATTTAACGATACGGTGATTACATTTTTAGATGTTTAAATTCAAAAAAGTGTAATTGTAACATAAAACCAATATAAAACAATTGTACTGTATAAGTACACAAAGTTTGGAAGATTAGTGTTGGAAAAGGACATTTAAGTGA